AATAATATTCTGTTCGTTAATAATACTAACTTAATATGAGTTTGCCCTTGTATTGTATGTACAATAATATAATTATTTATTATATTTAATGTATATATTAATATTTATTATAAACTTTTTAACTTTACATACATGCTCACACAACACACAGTGTTTACACTTTATTTAATTATCCGGAATTGAAGCTAAGAGTTAATTTAAATAAATATTATTGTAAAATAATACAATCCTTTTGTTATTCTATCTTGGAAGTATAACTTTGAATTAAGATGTATGACTAGAATGCATCTTAAATTCATTTGTTTCATATTTTGAATTTTAAATAGACTCTGTATGTGGTTAAATTAGTAGGCAACATCGCTTTATATAATAATAATCGTGATATGAAACATTTTGAAAGTTTCAGGTTTCAATAGTGAACACAATAAATTTTAGTTTTGTCAAAATGGTAAATTTTTAGCATATTTTTCTAATAATTTGATTTGATTACATTGTTTAGATTCATTAAAATTGTTTTAAAAATCATTCGCCAGTGATATTCTCTGAGAAGTTTTAAAATCATTCCCTAGTGGTTTTTCCAAGTTTATACTTATTTGCGCTCTTTGTGGTTTTTTCCAAATTTTGTACGTTTTTTCTTTACAAATTAATAATTTTTTGAACTAACTATAGAACTTTTAAAAATTTTCATCTGTTTCTTGTTGGTCAATAATTAACGTATCTTTATTCTTTATTTAGTACCCATATATATATATATATATATATATATATATATATATATATATATATATATATATATATATATATATATATATATATATATATATATATATATATATATAAAGACACATCTGGTAAACTTAAAATAAATATCTGTAAATTGTCATATCATAAACAAAACATAAAGGTATTTTACATTCAGAAATTTATTACAAATAAATATATACAAACACACACACACACACACAAACACACAAACACACACAAACAAAATAAGTTAAACTAGTTTTAATTTAATGAAATAAAATATAAATTTTTTTTACTATAGTAAATGTAGCTAATAATAGGATATTTTTTAACAAAGGATTTGGCATGCAGTGAGTCATTTGAGGAATAATATATTCGATGATTTATTTTTTATTATTTAAATTATATACAAAATAAACCCTCTCATACCATGATTAAATTAATCTTTAAATTCCGTAAATTTAATTTAAAAATATTATAAAAGTTTAAAAACATTGAAACAAATATCCCAAATTACATCTATTGATAAGATTGCTTGAGTTGTTGAAATATAAGATCAGCCTCTAACTAAAGTTTAGCCACTAAAACTAAACAATAAACTTTAGTGACTGAAGTAGTAGTGGTAATCTACCCTATTGTAAAATGAAATTATTATTTATGGATAAGTGGAAAATAATATAATTGGAGTAAGAAAAGATAAAATAATTAATTGGTATATCAGTATTTAATTAAATTAAAAGGAAATGATAATTATTAAATATTATATCATTATTTTTAATTTAATTATTAATAATTGAATTAAATTTTAATATGACAACTCTAGTGTAAACTTTACAGAGTTTACAGTTTACAGACTTTACAGTGTAAAGTAAAAGGCAATATTATAAAACTAATGTGAATTTATTTTCATTTACTTTTAATAGTAAGTTTTTATTTTCTGCATTACAAATTCTAAATAAATATTGATTAAATTAAATAATGTAAAATAAATATTCATGAAGTGATGAAACATGAAATAGATAAAAACTAAAATATAATTATGAACAATTAAAATGTGATATGAATGAAAATAAACTGTTTCTGGTATTGCTTACTTTACTAGATATGTTTTATTTAAAATTTTAAATATAAATAATTTAAATATATAATTTTACTTTAAAATTTTAACTAAATTATTTAGTTTTTTAGGTTTTTAAACTTTCTTTAAAATTTAAAGAAAGTTCAATCATTTTTTAGTTAGAAATTGTTTATCAAGAAAAAAATAAAGCAAACTTTTTTAAATTTTATTCAATTAATTTATTTAATTAAATTAAATTAACAATTAACTTTACATAATTAATATTTTATATTAAGAAAACAATTACAACAGTACAATACAATATTTTATTTCACTATTTAATAAAATTAATATAGTAAATTCCAACAAAAATTTATTTATTTGTTCCTAAAAAGTTCATACAAATATATAAATTGCAAAAAATTAAAAAAGTTCCGCATTTAATAGAGATGCACACATAAAATAAATAAACACATAGCACATACATACATAAATAAATAATAGATACATACATATATAATATATATACATACATACAAGCTACATACATATTAGATACATACACATCCAATACATACATACATACATAGTATATATATATATGTATGTTTTCTAAAAAGCAAACCACAAATAAAATATATGTATGTATGTATCCATACACTTACCAAACATACTTTCTCAATAACTTAAAATAATGACGACATACACTTGTATCAAACACTTTACTATACACATGGCATATATGACATATTATATGTTTATTATATGACCCAACAATTCTACAAGTATACATGTATGTGTATACTATTGGTTCATATGTTTGTCTTTGTATGTATGTTGTTATGTATGTAATATGTAGGTAACCAAAAGTAAATGTATTATGTATGTTTTGTTGCAATAATATTCTGTTCGTTAATAATACTAACTTAATATGAGTTTGCCCTTGTATTGTATGTACAATAATATAATTATTTATTATATTTAATGTATATATTAATATTTATTATAAACTTTTTAACTTTACATACATGCTCACACAACACACAGTGTTTACACTTTATTTAATTATCCGGAATTGAAGCTAAGAGTTAATTTAAATAAATATTATTGTAAAATAATACAATCCTTTTGTTATTCTATCTTGGAAGTATAACTTTGAATTAAGATGTATGACTAGAATGCATCTTAAATTCATTTGTTTCATATTTTGAATTTTAAATAGACTCTGTATGTGGTTAAATTAGTAGGCAACATCGCTTTATATAATAATAATCGTGATATGAAACATTTTGAAAGTTTCAGGTTTCAATAGTGAACACAATAAATTTTAGTTTTGTCAAAATGGTAAATTTTTAGCATATTTTTCTAATAATTTGATTTGATTACATTGTTTAGATTCATTAAAATTGTTTTAAAAATCATTCGCCAGTGATATTCTCTGAGAAGTTTTAAAATCATTCCCTAGTGGTTTTTCCAAGTTTATACTTATTTGCGCTCTTTGTGGTTTTTTCCAAATTTTGTACGTTTTTTCTTTACAAATTAATAATTTTTTGAACTAACTATAGAACTTTTAAAAATTTTCATCTGTTTCTTGTTGGTCAATAATTAACGTATCTTTATTCTTTATTTAGTACCCATATATATATATATATTCGTTTTGAGTTTATATTCGTACTATATATATGTTAGTACCGTAATTACAGTGCTATCAACATTTACCGCTTCCTAAAATGTACCGCACTAGGCTCCAGCCTTTTTAGCCTATTGGTAAGTTGGTTTATATCATTATGTAAGCTTTGGGGTTTTGCAACAGAAATTAATTAAATTCAAATTTAAAAAAAAACAGTTTTAAATTAATTTTAAAGAAACATGAATTAAAATAAAATCTTCTAATTATTAAATAAAAGTTCTCGAAAATCTTTCAGTTGTTAAGATTTATTTTATTACCATCTATTTTATTAAACCAAATACCAAACTCCATAACATGTGAATAAATAGATTACTATAAAAATTTCAAAAAAATTTACTTTACGCTATTAGTAACGAATTAGTTAACACTTATATATTACATCGAGAATCTATGATCTTTTGATCTTCAATAGAAAGTTCATTCATTTTAGAATTCGTTCTCGTTCTGTGAATAAATTTGAAAAACCTGCTATGGTAAAATTTGACAATAAATAGAAAAATATAAAACAACATACACGAACACGCACAAAATGTGGTGGTAGAAAAAGTTTGCCAACTCCATATGTAAGGACGCACACATATTCAGATGAGATATACGGGATAGAAAATATACAGATTAGCACACACAAGAGTAGATGCAGTTAGGACTTTTTCAATCGAGTCTTTATTACCGCTCGTATTTTTATGTTTCCCAAAGTGTTTAAAAAAAGTATTCTAGTTTGAATGGTTTTTGTAAAAGTTTGAAACTGTGACAATTAATTTGATATAGGACTGCTAGTTGGTTAGGTGGTACATTATTTTGTATGACAAGTGGTCAACAGGGTCTGCGATAAACTTTTTATTTAACGTTTATTGCAGTTCTTTGCACGTCTCTTTCTGCGAAACTTCGCATTTGACGTCATTCATCAAGTGTCAGCTCCTTTTTAGAGAGCGCTTCAGAGGAAATATTTGATAACGATACTTAGTTAGTGAATTTGATAAACATAAGCAAACAAATACCTTGCTTTTGTCTGCGAGCTTCCCAATTTCGGCCTGTGAAAGTATTATTTTCAATTATTCATTTCTGTTCATTGCTAAAATTAGTTAAATGGTTTTAAAATTAAACGGTAATAGGTTAATATTATTTAACATTTAATACAATAAGGATAGAAAACCCCACATTTTCTGTTCTAAATGTATACTAATAATTTTTCATATTTAGTATTAAAGAGCAATTTAAATGGTTCCGTACATTTTTCCCCTGAATTAAAATGCTTTGTTATATTACTCATTTGAAAAAAGTTTGTACTTTGAAACAAAATTTTATAAAAGTATTGTGAAATAGTGAGGCTTTTGCTGGCAGTGCGTGACAACGTACTTATTTTCAGAACTAGATATATCCCTGCATACGTTAAATAATTTGTTTGTTTGGTTATTATTTTATAAATGAAAATAATTCATTTTGGTTAAATAATGTAGTTTAATAAAAAATGTTTTAACAAACAGTTTTTATATAAAGATTTGATAGCGTTGACAAGAAATTTTATGTTAATATATGGACATTTGAAATTCAATTGAATCGAATGAACAAACTACTGATTTAATAAATGAACAAATAAATAAATAAATAGGTAGTGAAAATTAATTAATTGTAAAACCAATCAATCGTTCACTCGCTGCGATGAATCCAATAGCTGAAGCGCAACTTGACGTTACAAAAAAGATTATGATCATGTCTGGAGTGTTGAATGTATTAAAAAAATTGGAAAATTTAATTTGTCAAAATTATTAATTATTGGAAAATTTAATTTGTCAAAATTTTTAATTATTGGGCAGATTGGATTAAGTATAACAATTAATGTTAATTTCAATTTCAGTGGAAAATAAAAATAGAACAAAAACTTGTTGTCCTCATTTGACAAAATAATCATTGTCACAAAACAAAACTAATATCCCAATAATATCTTAACAACAGCAACTTCAACAACTCTACTACAATTCAATTACAACATCCCAACTACAACATCTCAATACTTTATTAAAAACATCTTGGCTACATGTCAAGATCAACAAAAAAATTAACCTCGT